TTTGTGCCGAACGTGGTGGGGTTTTATATCAACGGGCAATGTTCGAGGTCAGGTGGGAGTGAGGATTTCAAACGCCGATTTTCTAAGCAAGGACCATCTTTTCTATATTGGAAGATTAGCCGAACACAATGTTTCTTTATCATCTATGCTGGGATCAGTGATACTTAGTAAATATTCATTAATCATTTCTAAGTTTTCCCAGACAAATGGACAGCTGGTGGGGAGTTGGGCCTGGTTGTTTCCAAGAAGAAGAAGAAGAAAAAAAAGAAGGCGGAACAGAAGAACAAGAAGAAGGAGGAGGAGAAAGAGATTAAAACGAAGGAGGAATAGCAGTAGGATAATAGGAAGAAGAGCAAGAGGGAGGAAGAGGAAATAATAATAATAATAATAATAATACTAGTAATAGTAATAATATGCCCAGACATTGTTATTAAAGACCACAAACAACAAAAAAAGTGCCTCCTTATTGATATGGCAGTCCCTGCAGACTACAATGTATCTTTGAAGATATTCAAAAAGCTGTCAAAATACAAAGACAGTAGAAATCTCTAAAATGTGACACATGGGAACATCAACAGTCCCTGTTGTAGTTGGAGTCCTTGGATTGGTTGGAAAAAGATTCCAGTAGACTGATTAAAGGGATTCCTGGAAGTCCATGCCTCAAAGAAATACAAAAAACTGTTCTGACTAGTACAATCCACATTTTACGAATGGCTTTATCTATGTATTTTTTTTTTTTTTTTGTCAGTGGAAAGTTTCATGATGCCATTTCTAACCTTATCGCCCTGGGCGGGACCCGGAAAGAAATGTGTAAACGCCAGAAATCAAAGAAAATAATAATAATAATAATAATAATAATAATAATAATAATAATAATAATTGCGCATATCTATTTATGAGCCGGATTAACGTATTTTCGAATAGCTTGTTGGTTTCTCAGTTTCTTGGATAATCCGATACGAAGTGGTATCAAACTGTGACTCAACTTAAGGATAGGCACAGTTTTTTTTGTTTTTTTTTTAATCAAAAACCTGTCACCACATCACGCAAATTCGGTTGTGAGGCATACAACGAATAAACCTGTATCAGACATATGTTTTTATGTGTACAATGAATAATTGTATTATAGTAACACTTTTATTGACATGCTTTTTTTCTAGTTCAGTAATAATAATAATAATAATAATAATAACAGTAATAATAAAAATAATCATAATAATAATCGTGATCAAAGACCACAAAAACAGGGTTTGCTTTCTTATTCAAATGGCGGTTCTTACAGATTGTAATGTAAATTGAAGATCTTCAAAAGACTATCAAACTACAAGGATCTTAAAATGGAAATTTAAGAAAAAATGTTGCACATGAGGACGTCTATAATTCCAGTTGTAGTTGGAGCCCTCGGTTTCATTGGAAACCGTTCTGATAGACTCATTGAAGGGATTCCTGGTAGCCCATGCCTTCAAGAAATGCTAATAAAAATGAAGTCACAAGTACAGCCTACACCTTACGAAGGGCTTTATCTATATGAAATATTTATGATCTTAGATGGTTATTTTGTTTTGTTTTTTTTATTTCCTCAAAAAATGTTCAGTGGTGCCATGATGCTGTTTCTGGTTGGCACCCGGAAAGAAATGTGTATACACAAGAAATACACAGGGAATAATAATAATAATAATAATAATAATAATAATAATAATAATAATAATAAAATACACCGACTGAAGCTGTAAAATACTTAAAAAAGAAAACAAATGCAACAGATCAGATACAGAAACAATGGCAAGATAAACCGCTTCATGGCCAATACTCTGCCCGTACCAAACAAGATGATGTAGACAAGCCCAGTACCCACCAGTGGCTACATAGTACAGGGTTAAAAGCTGAAACAGAAGGTTTTATACTTGCTGCACTGATACAGTGCTTGTTAACTAGAAATTATCAAACACCCATACTAAAATATTGTGTTAGCCCAGAATGCAGATTCTGTGATAAATATCCAGAAAAAATTGATCATCTTGTATCAGGTTGCACGGTATTGGCACCCACTGAATATAAAACCCGGCATGATAGAGTGGGCCAATATCTGCACTAGAAAATCTGCAACTTCTACGGGAAGGAAACTGAAAGAAATTGGTATGAACACCACTCAGACCCGGTTACGGAGATAGGACCTGTTACAATTCTATGGGACTACACATTACACACTGACAGAACAATCAAAGCTAACCGCCCAGACATTATTATTACAGTCCGGAAACAAAAATAATGCCTCCTTATTGTTATGGCAGTCCCTGCAGACTACAATGTATCTTTGAAAATCTTAAAAAGCGATCAAATAAAAGGAATTTGAAATAGAAATCTCAGAAATATGGCACATGGGAACATCAATAATCCCTGTTGTAGTCGGAGCCCTCGGATTGGTTGGAAAAGATTCCAGTAAACTACCTGAAGGAATTCCTGGACTTTCTTTAGAAATACAGAACATTGTTCTCACGAGTACCGCCCACAACTTACAAAGGACTATATCTATGAAAAATTTGTGTTTTTTTTTTGTGTTTTTTTAATTGGTCAGTGGAAAATGTCATGATGCCATTTCTAACTTTAGGTCTCTGTGTGGAACCCGGAAAGAAATGTGTACACACCGGAAATAAAAGGATATATAATAATAATAATAATAATAATAATAATAATAATAATATCATTACCAGAATATTGTGGACTTTCCAAGAATAATTGAAGAAGTTGAAAAGCCCACTATATTATGGGACAGATTCATACATAATTGCTATCCGGATATTATTGTGCTAGTTATTGCGACCAAGAACGGTCAAATTATTGCTGTTGTCATACCAAATAACTTCAAGCAAAAAAGGTGATTGAGAACATTACGAACTCGTCTGATTTGAAAGTGGCGATGGCAAGATTGTTTGGAATGAAGGAAGGGAATATCAAGGTGATACTAGTGGTGATTGGCGAAAACTTGATAATTGCAGCACAAACCTTGTTACCAATGCTATAAAATACCACATATATAAAACATCAATCACTCCAAAATGTTGGCTTCATGTTGGAAATTCTGAGAACATGACTCACCTGATCAGTGATTGTAAAATAAGAGGTGTCATGATAAGAAATGTCTTTATGTCCGTTAGTTATTTTCGAAAGTATGGCTACCAAGTTGCAAAACATTGGTACCAATATGTGCCTTGCAGAACAAATGAAGAATTTGAAAAGCCAAAAATGTCTTGGGTCTATGATTTTTAGACAGACAAAATAATACAACATCGTCCTATATTATTGCGCTATATAAAGACGCCAAAAACTTTGATACTATTGATGTTTCAAAAAAAAAAAAGAAAGAAAAAAGGAAAAAATAGGTTTATGCCTTTTCCTTGTTCCGTGAATTGACGAATAAACAATTAGCGAGAAAACGATAAAAAAGGAGATTCTTCCACCAAAATTTTCCAGTGAGAATTTCCACGTCTACAGTTCTGTAACTGCAAAAATTCGGTAATTTTTCTTATTCTTTTTAAACTCTATGTCTCTTATAAGTAGCCGAAAGATTTCCCTATGGGGGACAATAAAAGCAGCTACTCCATGTGCTGCCTTAGACAACATGCTAAAAAACACGCTGCTTTAGACAGCCAGTGTAAACTCGAATTCACAAAACACGGACGAATTTCATTGGAAAACGAAAGATTTTATTCTGTGAATCAGGGTTTACACTGGCTGTCTAAAGCAGCGTGTTTTTTAGCATGTTGTCTAAGGCAGCACAGTAAAAAATCAAAGTTTTATTCGCACGTGGCGCTAGGTCTTCCATAATGCAGTGTGACCATCTTCCTCTCCTACGGCTCCTTGCGGATTTCTCTACTGGACTGCTGCCGGCGTAAAACTAATTTGACAGCTATTAGCCTTTTCAACGACCCGTGACGCTCCGGCACTCTTTGTCTACCCTTCTCTGCAACAGATCCCAGCACGCTTCAACAAACGCCATGGACCAAAAGTCCGTTGTCTCTAATAGAACGCGCTCCAGGTTCTCTTCTGCCCCATCTAAGGCCTTGGCTGTCCGTGCTGAACTGGAGATGGCTAAAGCAGGCCTGCTCTTCGTGGAGAGAGAGAATAAACTGCGCGAAGCAAAGGCTAAAATGGAGTCTGAAGAGAAAACTCTAGAGGCTCAAAGGGAGATAGCTCTCAAAGAAGCCGCACTAAAGGCCTTTGAAGAGTATGTCTCGCTTAGTGAGGAAAAATCCAGCATCCACCTTGACCAGACTCCTGCCGATCCCATGCAGCGCACGAGAGAATATGTGGCCGAACAGACGGCTCAACTCAACTCACAACCTGCCGCCCCGCAATTGGTACAATCATCTGCCCTGCAACACACACGCTCTCCTGCATCCCAATTCGATCAGCCCACCAACTCAGAAGCCTCTTCTTCCTACTCCCCTGATCCCCCCGATCCATCTGATGATCATCGGAGGAGGTGCTCAACTGAAAACCGCCATGACCATTCCAGTGACTTAACGCGTTACTTCGCCCGGCGAGAATTACTTCAAGCCAGTATGCTGAAATTCTCGGACAGACCTAAGGACTATCGAGCATGGAGACGTTCATTTCGCAACTCCATTGTCGACCTGCATTTGACACCGAGTGAAGAAATGGACTTGCTTGTGAAATGGCTCGGCCCTGCCTCCACTGAGCATGCCAACCGTTTAAGGACAGCCTACCTTAACCATCCTGAGAAGGGCCTGCAGGAAATATGGAAGCGTTTGGAAAAATGCTACGGGTCCCCTGAAGCCATCGAAGACTCACTCTTCGAAAGGATCCATTGGTTCCCCAAAGGTAACCAAGGACTACGACAGACTGAGGGAGTTAAGCGACCTCCTCACCGAACTCCAAGCAGCTAAGGATGATGGTGATCTCCCTGGTCTTGCCCTCCTGGACACTGCTCGGGGTCTCAGGCCTATAGTGGAGAAGCTTCCGCCTACACTACGGGACCAATGGACCTCCCATGGCACGACATACAAGCGGAAACACCAAGTGCCATTCCCCCATTCTCGGTGTTTACTAAGTTCATCGAACAACAAGCAGAAGACAGGAACGACCCCAGCTTTCGTCTTACCACAGATACTTGGCCCTCGCAAAACATGGACCGAACAACCACACCACAGCGAAAAGAAATTTCAGTCCACAAGACTCAAATTGCATCAAAAGACATCAAAGAGATATGCCCCATCCATAACCTGCCTCACCCTCTTCGTAGTTGCCGGGCATTTAGAAGTAAACCTTTTCCAGAGAGGCAAGCCTATCTGAGACAACACAACATCTGTTTCCGATGTTGTTCTACCCATGTCAACAAGGACTGCAGGTTCAAGCCTAAATGCGCTGAATGTGGCAGTGAAAGCCACAACACTGCTCTTCACCCTGGACCCGTACCACAAACGACACCCATCAGAGCCATGCCAAACCATGGCGGGGAGAACAACGATATTACAGCCCACTGCACACAGGTTTGTGGTAGCAACTTAATCGAAAAATCTTGTTCAAAAATTTGCCTGGTGAAGGTGCATCCCAAGGCCAGAGAAACAAGGCAGTCAGGATGTATGCCGTGATCGACGAACATAGCAACAAGTCACTTGCTCGTCCGGAGTTCTTCGAGTTGTTCAGTGACCACGGCCCCACATCTTCTTATTCACTTAGGACTTGCGCTGGAATCATAGAAATGGTTGGGAGAAGAGCCTATGGATACAGAATTGAATCCATAGATGGACACACCAGCCTGCCCCTTCCAACATTAATCGAGTGCGCTGATGTGCCGGATAATCGCGCAGAAATCCCAACACCAGAAGCAGCCCTTCATCACAAACATTTGGCTAGGATAGCAGCGGAGATTCCTAACTTGGACCAGGAGGCCCCTATTTTGCTACTCCTGGGTCGTGACATTATCGACGTACATAAGGTTCACGCCCAGATCAATGGTCCTCACAGCGCCCCTTATGCTCAGAAATTAGACATGGGCTGGGTGATAGTGGGGAATGTATGCCCTGGGGGACGCATAAACCGTCCACTGTTGACACCTTCTTCACCAGCACCCGAGAAGGAAGCCGCCCAACAAACTTTGGGCCTTGTCCCAACACATTCTGGAGCCAAGGAAAGATACTGCCAGAAAGGATTGGGCAGCTCCGTGTTTCAACTGACCAAGGAGGACGACCGACTGGCCTACTCCATAGAGGACAGAATCTTCCTTGATATCATGGAAAAAGGCGTGAAGAAGAATAGTCACTGCAGCTGGGTAGCACCTCTTCCATTCAAACCATCCAGACTTCGACTTCCTAATAACCGACAACAAGCAGTCAGTCGGCTCAACTCACTAACTCGCCAATTCAGGAAGAAACCGCGTTTGGCACAGGACTTCTTCTCCTTCATGGAAAAAATCTTCACTAACGCCCGGGCAGAAGTGGCCCCTCCACTCAAACAGGAAGAAAGAGATGGTACTTGCCTATGTTCGGCATTTACCATCCAAAAAAACCAAACAAAATCAGAGTTGTCTTTGCCTCCAGTGCCCAATATAATGGAGTATCGTTAAACGACGCCCTATTAACCGGGCCAGATCTAAACAACAATTTAATAGGAGTTCTGATCCGTTTCCGAAGGGAGCCCGTAGCAATCATGGCTGACGTCGAACAAATGTTTTACTGTTTTCTCGTTAAAAGAGAGCACAGGGACTTTCTGCGGTTCCTGTGGTATAGAGACAATGACCCTGATAAGGAAATAGTTGAATACAGGATGAAAGTCCACGTATTCGGCAACAGTCCATCACCGGCAGTGGCAACTTACTGCCTCAGGAAATCTGTCGAAGAAACACCCGGAGTCTAGCCCTGCTGTTGTTCAGTATGTCCACCGTGACTTTTATGTGGACGATGGACTAAAGTCAGTGCCTACTGTAGGAGAGGCCATCTCCTTGCTGAAGGAAACCCAAAATGTTCTGGCAGCATCTAATTTGAGACTACATAAAATAGCCTCCAATAAAAAAAGGAGGTTCTGGACGCTTTCCCTACAGAAGACCTCGCCAGCGACATCAAGGATCTGGACCTCAATGAAGAGGCTGTACCGATGCAACGTAGCCTGGGACTTGATTGGGACCCAGAGAGTGACTGCTTCACCTTCAGAGTTGCAGATGAAAAGAAGCCTTATACACGCAGAGGCGTCTTGTCAACAATCAACAGCCTCTATGACCCTCTTGGGTTCGTGGCTCCAGTTACCATCCAAGGCAAGTCCATTTTACGGGAACTCACATCCGATAAGGTTGATTGGGATACCTCCTTTACCCCCTCAGAAGGAACAACTTTGGACTGCATGGCGCGATTCCTTCGAGAACTCCACAACCTCCAGATACCAAGGACTTACACCACTAAGTCGCCCACTGCAGCATCCTCCAGGCAGTTGTGTGTCTTCTCGGACGCGTCGACTAAGGCAATTGCTGCTGTAGCCTACCTCAGACTCACCTATCTTGATGGTACTTGTGAGGTGGGTTTCATCATGGGGAAAACGAAATTGGCACCACAACCTGAGACCTCTGTGCCCAGACTGGAACTCTGTGCTGCCGTCCTGGCAGTTGAATTGGCAGATATGATTCTCTTGGAGCTTGATATGCAAGTGAACTCTACCATTTTTTTACTGATAGCAAGGTTGTTCTTGGTTATATAGGCAATGAACATCGCCGCTTTTACGTTTATGTCAGCAATCGAGTTCTACGCATCCGTAGATCATCTCAGCCTGAACAGTGGCATTACGTACCCACGGATAAAAACCCAGCTGACTGTGGAACCAGATCAATTCCTGCCATCCAAATGTCTACTACAGCCTGGCTCAACGGTCCCTCTTTCCTCTCTAACCCCTTGTTCAACCGTTTTGAATCCAATTCCCACGGACTTATCAATCCTGAAAACGACGTTGAAATCCGTCCAAGTGACAACCTTCACCACCCACTCATCCCCCCGTGCTGCTTGATGCTCATCGCTTCAGGAAGTTCTCCACGGGCAATACACGAGCTATTGCTCGTTTGATCCACATTTCTCAGTCATTTAAGAAAGAGACTAGACCGAAGGACTGCAAGGGCTGGCATTACTGTCGAGCACCATTTCCAGTAGAAACACTGGTGCAATCTAACAACGTGATCCTCCGGTCGGCGCAAAACGACACATACGCTTTGGAACTCTCTTGCTTATTACAGCATAAGGAACTTCCCAAGAGCAGTGCTCTCAGGAAATTAGATCCCTTCGTAGACGACCAAGGTCTCCTCAGAATCGGAGGTCGCACACGAAGAGCAGGACTAGACCGTAGCGAGATGCACCCTGTTATCTTATCTGGCAAGCACCATATAACGTCCCTGCTCGTTAGGCACCACCACAAGCAGGTACATCACCAGGGACGTCACTTCACAGAGGGCGCAGTTCGTGCTGCTGGCTTCTGGATTGTTGGTGGAAAGAGAAGTATCAGCAAAACCATCCACTATTGCGTAATTTGCAGAAAGCTCCGTGGTCCTATGCAGATCCAAAAGATGGCAGACCTACCAGAAGACCGCCTATCCATGGAACCTCCCTTCACAAATGTGGGGCTTGATGTTTTTGGGCCTTGGCCCATTACTTCACGTCGAACTAGAGGGGGCTTGGCCCACAGCAAGCGGTGGGCCACAATATTCACATGCATGACCACAAGAGCGATTCACATCGAGGTCTTGGAGTCACTCGACACATCAAGCCTGATAAATGCTCTCAGGCGCTTCTTTTCTATCCGGGGTCCAGCAAGACTTATCCGTTCGGACCAAGGCTCCAATTTTGTCGGAGCAAGAAATGAACTCGGAATCAATTCCACCCTAGATACAAGTGCCGTGTGTAAACACCTCTCTGAATACGGTTGTACCTGGTTATTCAACCCTCCGCATGCACCACACATGGGTGGAGCGTGGGAAAGAATGATAGGTATTGCCAAGAGGATTCTCAACTCCATGTTAATGCAACATGGAAGCACCAAACTAACCCATGAAGTGCTCACCACCTTCCTGGCTGAGGTGACTGCCATTGTTAATAGCAGACCACTTGTCCCAGTATCCACAGACCCAGAAGACCCAGTTCTGCTGACACCTTCAACACTCCTCACCCAAAAAATCGGCTCTGCTCCTGCACCAACAGGTGACTTCACTATAAAGGATGTTTCCAGGCAACAATGGAGGCACGTTCAACATCTTGCTCAGACGTTTTGGAACCGGTGGAGGGCCAGTACCTCCCTCTTTTGCAGGCCTGAAACAAATGGACTTCCAGCATTCCAAACCTGAAACCTGGCAGCGTGGTTCTTTTGAAAGACCAGGATTCAAAGAGAAACGAATGGCCCTTGGGACTGATTACCCGTGTCATTCCTAGCCAAGATGGAAGGGTGCGACAGGTCGAAGTGAAAATTCACAAAATGACGTGCAAAATTGTTCCTGAGACCTGTAACAGAGACTGTGCTTCTCCCTCCTCCGTCTGAACCTATCTGTTAAAATGGACCTTCTTCCCCCTCTTCGATCCCCTCCGTATACCACCTTCCTTGTCTCTTTGCTCTCCCCCCTCCATGCTTTAATTTTTTTCACAGGACTGTTACTACTCCTTTTCCTTATCTTTTTTTCTCCTTCCTTTCCTGTCAAACCCAGATGCATGCCCTTCAACAAACACAAATGTAAAACAAACTTAAACTAGAAACTTTCACACGAACTTTTTGAGATTTCACAATCTAGGGGGAGTGTCACGTTTTTAACGTCAACCTTCTGTCCTTAGGGACAATTTCACTGTACACCGTTTTTTTTTTTTTTTGTTTGTTTACCTTTTTACCTCTCGTCTCGCTGCGACTTCCTTTTTTTTGTTACTGTCTTTATTTTTTTTTTTTTTTTTTTATCTATTTCTCTCTCTTTCTTTGTGTTTTCTAGAATAAACTAGTCTTCCTTAGCATTAATTTCCTTCTTTTTTGATTACGCTTTACCGTTATCATCTACTCTCGGCAACGTGATAAGCCACGAGATGTGTGTTTTCTTTTGGCGGGATCTTCAGAGTTCTTTTTGGTTCGGTACCTGCTTGCATGCACCCTTACTCGCCGCTTTGCCTTTCCTTGATAACTTTGGTATGTTTTATTCCATTCTTCTTTTTTTTCCCTTTTTTCGCCTTTTGTATTGAAAATGTATTGTGGTAACACTACAAGTAGTTTTTGCCTTTATTTCTGGGATGCTCATTCAACAAGTTTGTGCTTTCGAGCCCTGAATTTTGATATTTAGAAAGAATGTAGGACCTTTCTATGTTTGACTTTGCTCTGTCGTTTAGACATACTCCTTTACCATGTCTACCATTGTTAATTGCCTCTTTCTGGCTCTCAACGCTTAGCTGCCTTTCCGAATTTGTTGCTGTCATATTTAACATAAATACGACACGTGTTAGTCTTAGCCTCCTTCGCCACTACTGTCTGCCTTGTGGCTGCTGGTAGTAGTTAACTTACTTTTTCTTTCTTTCTTTCTTTGTTCTCTCTTGCTTCCTTCTCTGTCTCTCGTCTCCCCTTTCCTCTTGGTCCCTTTCGTCGCAGCGGATGTTTTTTGTTCATTTTTTTTTTCAGATTTTTTACCTGATTCACAGAATAAAATCTTTCGTTTTCCAATGAAATTCGTCCGTGTTTTGTGAATTCGAGTTTACACTGGCTGTCTAAAGCAGCGTGTTTTTTAGCATGTTGTCTAAGGCAGCACACTCCAGACGATACGCAATGTGATATTGATACTATAAAAACATTCTCCTGGTGAAAAGTTGGGTAATTTGACATTCAGTAAAAAACAGAGATAGTGTAATTTGCTGTATTGTCCTGAAACGAACCGTGGGGACTAATACAGAGACATAACATATACGACCAACTACGGAGCAACGACTGTATTCAGCAAACACCAGTTCGAGATACATACTTATATATATATTCTGTCGTAAATATTGGGACTATATTACCAGTCGTTAAGTACTATGATAGTGCCCAATCTCGTCTAATGAGGACGGCCAGATAGCGGAAGAATTGCAAGCAAAATAATATAGATATGGCTGAGAAAATACATTTGGAAAGCAAAAGGCTATCATAAGTAAAATTAATTCACAATAATCGTATTAGAACGAGACGCAGCAAAAGATATAACAAACAAATATCACCGGGGAGGAAGCTGCGAATAAATTGTGGCTCAAATGTGTGAATAAGTTGGGGTGGTGGGGGGAGTATGCAAACGATCCGGATTCACACATAAAATAAACTGAATAAGTACGAAGCAGAGAAAAGAAAGTATAAAATGCTTGTGAAATTCAAACAGCGCACCTAATGAAGGCGAAAAGCAAAGCTAGCTAAAATAAAGGAAATACAACCCACAAAATGGCGGCTAACAGTTGTTTCAGTTAGTTTAGAGAGTTAAAATGAAAGACGGTAAAGTTGAATAAATAAAAGAACAGCACCTGAGAACTAAAAATATCTGTGATATTTTCAGTCGGTGATTGTGTCAATCTTTAAAAGAACACTTGGAATTTGTCTTGAACCGATTTAAGGAATCAAACTATACTAACAACATCGTTATAGAAATGAATAATGTTAAAGAAAATAAAAAAAATAGACCTACAGGAGACTTACTGTTATTTACTAGATAGCCAGTATAACAATATACACCTTTACAATATGCACCGCGTTGGTGGTGCAAAGAATAGTGGCTCGGAATAAGAAATTGAACAGTCGAGTTCGAATTTCAATCTCGTGTGTTACATTTACTTACGGAAAAAGTATGGATCTAACTCATCTCTCCAGCTATGGGTTAAATAACAAGACTTGTATCTGGAAAAAAATTCATCCCAAAATTTTAGTGCTATATTCATTGACAAAGAATTAATTATTCTCACAATTCAAAATAAGTTTCAACTTTAAATAATCCACAAATGGTTGATAAACCGTAAAAAAACAGTCAAATTTCGTTGCTAATCTGTTCTGTTCATGGTATTCTCAGCATCCGTCTACAGAAGCATATTTTTGTCGCTTCGAGTGTTCTCTTCATCTGTAAGGATTTTGTTCAGCATTCAATTCTACATTAGCTACAACAATACTACAATTCGATTAGCTATAACATATCTGATCAGTGCTCTTTTCTTTGTTTCTAATTATTAAGATAAGAAAATATGAATAATAATAATAATAATAATAGTAGTGTGTATAGTAGGCAATATCTGCCCTGGTAAATATGGTAGTTTTAGGAGAAGGAAACTAAAAACTATTATGAACATCAATTAGACTCAATTACAGAGATATGATCTGTAACAATTTGATGGGACTTTACAATACACACAGACAGAATAATCAAAGGCAATCGCCCAGACATGGCGATCAAGGACCACAAAGACAGAGTGTGCTTTCTTATTTATATGGCAATCTCTGCAGACTGATATATATTTTTGAATATCTTCAGAAACTATCAAAATACAAGGATCTTGAAGTGTAAATCCCCCCACCAAAAAAAATAATAAAAAAAAAAAACAATAATAAATATGACACAAGAGGACACCAATAATTCCATTTGTAGTTGGAGTCCTCGGATTTATTGGTATAGGTTCCAATAGACTGATTGTCGGGATCCCTGGTAGCCCATGCCTTAAAGAAATACAAACAATTATACTCACAAGTACAGCTCACACATTACGAAGAGATTTATCTATGTAAAATGTATGAGATCTTATGTTTCTATTTTTTCTTTTTCTTTTTTACAAAAATGATTAGTTGAAAATTTCATGAAGACATTTCTGATCTTAGATCTCTGGTTGGGATCCGGAATGAATAATAATAATAATAATAATAATAATAATAATAATAAAGACTGCAAACAAAAACGGTGCCTCCTTATTGATATGTCAGTCCCTGCTGACTGCAATGTACATTTGAAGATATTCAAAATGCTGTCAAAATACAAGGACCTTGAAATAGAAATCTCGAAAATATGGCATATGGGAACATCAACAATCCCTGTTGTAGTTGGATCCCTAGAACTTGTTGGAAAAGATTGCAGTAGACTAATTGAAGGGATTCCTGGAAGTCCATGCCTCAAGGAGATACAAAAAAAATTGTTCTGACAACTACAGCCCACACTTTACGAAGGGCTTTATCTATGTATTATTATTTTTTTTTTTTTTTTTGTCAGTGGAAAGTGTCATGATACCATTTCTAAATTTAGTTCCCTGGGCGGGATCCGGAAAGAAATGTGTAAACGCCAGAAATCAAAGAAAATAATAATAATAATAATAATAATAATAATAATAATAATAGACTGTCATATTCTTAATTTTACTGTCACATACGATATAAATAGACCCCCCTCGATAAAAGTACCCCCAATAAAGAGCACCCCCTACCCTTTAATGAAAAGTTGGAAAAATAGAGTGATCTGATTAGGAATGTCAAGAAGATATGTAACATAACAATAGAAATAATTCCTGTAGTAAATTTTGAACTTTTGCTTTTGAAAACCAGCTAGAATCTTGTAAGAACGCTTAGGAAAAACTGGAACTGAGATCAAGATTGTATACATTCTGAAAGCCATAACCATTTACACTGGGACGATTCTGAGATTTCTTGAGCTGTGAGGAGTCTAAATTGATTAATTGATATATGTATTTTTTTAAAAGGATTATCAACATTTTGCAGGTTATTTAAAACTCGAAAACATCTTTAAATTGTAAGAATTTTGGGGATATAATGAAGATAACCCACTACAAGTCCTACTAATTAACCCATAGCTGGGGGCAGAAGAGGTGGATTCATACTTTTCCCAAGGATATTTGCCCGTAAGTGAATATAACAAACCCAACTGGGATTAGAAGTTGGCTTTCTGATCTCCAGTTTTGAGCCGTCATCGCATATCTAAGCTCATCACTTGGCATTCCTAAGCAGTTGACCATCTGGGTATTAACCAGTCCGGATATTGCTTAACTTCGGTGATCGTTTGAAGACCAGTGTTTCAACATGATATAACCATAAGACTGAGAGACCACCATGTTTAAAGAACAGTTAATGTTCGACATTAACATAATTATGGTAACAGTTAATGCGCATATTATTATTTTTTTATTGGTGGTATTAAAAATCAGTAATATAAGTACGAAGCGAATAATAATGTGAAAATAAGGATTTGTGTTTGTAGTGTAACACGGTGTAAAACTGTCCACTTTTTTCATAAATTATCGTTCATATTTTAAGTATAAATGTAAACATTCTTACATCATGAGAGTTTCACACATTCTCTAGTTTTGTGTTTCTATTATAAAAAAAATATATATATCTGATGAAAAACGACTTTATGTTACATTGGAGAGCGAACAGTGTTGATTTGTGATTATTGCGAACGGACGCACACATCCAATGATATATTTTATCATCAGCGCGAGCTTCCCCGCGAGATTTATCGCGAGAATATATATTCTTGATCTTCTTCAACATTTAAATATACTTATATTTGAATGGCAGTCTATTAAATAATGTATTACAATAACGATTTTGCCGTATATCAAAATTTAGCTCAAATGAGGTGCCGGAGTCGCTCAAATTTCTTAAGGATAATGGAGCTGGGATGGACATAAATTATGTTATTTTCGCAAATATATTAACGCTGTCGAACCCATATCCACACCTGTAGG